GAGCGAATCGATTATAGTGGCAATATACAAGAAGGGCAGTCGCACAGACTGTGCGAACCACAGGGGTATTAGCCCAACGCCAGTTGTGACAAAATTACTGGCCTCGATTATCGTACGTCGCCTCATTGCAGAACGGGAATCTTGGATTAGAGAAGAGCAGGCCGGTTTTCGCCCAGGACGTGGCTGTATAGACCATATATTTACTTTGCGGCAGGTGCTAGAGCAGTGCCACGCATACCGCAGACCGACAATAGCTGTGTTCCTCGATTTCAAGAGTGCGTTCGATTCAGTCGATCGATCGATTCTGTCCGAATTACTTGCGCGAAAAGGTGTTCCCACGAAATATGTGAACATCCTTCGTGCTCTATACTCGAACACTACAGGCCGAGTCAGGGTCTATGGTGGCATATCGGATAGCTTTTCGACTACAAGTGGCGTTCGTCAGGGTTGTCCGATTTCCCCGTTTTTGTTCAATTTCGTCGTGGATTCTATCATGGAGTGTTCCCTGACGGAATCCAACGATGTAGGCGTTGAAGTGCTGCCTGGTGAAAAGTTAGTTGATCTAGATTATGCGGACGATATCGTCTTGCTTTTCGACAATGTTGAGGCGGCACAATCAACCCTGAATAGCCTGTCCAGAGTGGTCCCATTATTCGGTATGCACTTCGCACCTTCAAAGTGCAAAGTGTTGCTGCAGGACCACCAGCCACTTGATGACCCCTTGACGCTTGCTAACGAGGAATTCGAGGTGGTTGATCAATTCACTTATCTTGGCAGCTGCATCAGCAATGATGGGCGCATAGAAACCGGCGTGTGTTCACGCATAGCAAAGACCAGAGCTGCCTTGTTGTACCTGCGTCATCTTTGGCGACAGAAGGGAGTTTCCCTCCGCCTAAAAGGCCGTGTATACAAGGCCACAGTGAGGGCCGTTCTGCTCTATGGTAGTGAAACTTGGCCCCTACGGTCTGAAGATCTGAGGCGCCTTCAAGTCTTTGATCATCGTTGTTTGTGAAGCATTGCTGGTGTCGGATGGCACCAGCGTGTCCGCAACGATGATGTGCGTAGGCGAGTACTAGGTAGTGATAATCATGCTAGCTCCCTAGAACAACAGATAGCACTGAATAAGTTACGCTGGCTCGGGCACGTGCGACGCATGCCTGGTCACCGCTTACCTAGGAGGGCCTTGTTCAGTCTACCAGGTGTAGGATGGCGCAAGGCTCGAGGTGGACAGAAGTTGACTTGGCAGCGGGAAATGAAGTCACTGACGACCAAACTGGGTGCCGTTGGTCCGTCTCGCCTTCCGGGCTGGAGTCCACGTGACTCACCTTGTGCTTGGCTCGAGACTTTGCAGGACATGGCTCGCAACCGACACCAGTGGCGCGTCTGCTGCCGTCTTCTAATCGGATTGCCTGTTTAAAGTATGTTTGTTGCTGAGTTATCTGCGGGGTAATGGCTGATTATGACGCGTGGCAGTGAAAGCCGCAAGGAAGCTGTCTCGCCGATGCCGCCTTATCTTTGCACGATAGCCAGCTGTTCGTGACGGTATGTTGTCTACTCAAGGTGTAGGCGCCTTGACGCTGAATGTTTGCTTAGGGCATTAAGGTTTTCAGGTAAGTCCCCCTTCTCTCCCTCTTCTTATTCTTTATTTCATAGGTCCTCATGGTTGTATGGCAGCGAAGCATCAGTTCAAATGGCTGATGTACTGCTGTTGATGATGATGATGATGATATGCTCAACTGTGCAACACCGTCGGCAGCGGTGTTGTCTGAAATGGTAAAACCGTAGTATTGCCAGGAACCAAGGTAGTGACAGACGTGTGGAGGCTTTTTTGGACTGGCTTGGCTGCGATGACGACTTCAGTTTAGGTTGGGTAACAGCGACCATAGGAGCAGAACGAGACGTCCTGTCAGCTTGCTGGATCAGGTCGGAATCGTGCTTTAGGTTGAGAAGTCGCTCGCTTTTGTGCACTGATTGTGCTGGCGTGAAGTCGAGTTCCAAATCGATCTTAGTCAGTAACCTGATTTGTATTACTTGGTGACTAAAGATCACAGACAAAAATCAGACATTGGAATTGATCCTCGATAAGAGATCTGAGCTTGAAACTGCTACACTCACGATTGACGATGCCGGCATTTATGATAAAGTCGCCGACCTCGAGCTTGACTACTTTGCGGCAGTGGAAGCGAGTGTTAAACAGTGTCCCCGAAAATCGACTTTAATGTCTGCACCGTCTCGTTGAAGCTGCTTGACCGTGATACTGTAGTGAGGAGAACATTTGTACACTGAACGTGTTCCGCTGTGCCCAATTTCCAGAGTAGTCGGACTTTGGTCTCTTCATCTCGATTGACCAGTTCAACCGAGATATCCTCGTATCGCTTGTACCATGATTAGAATTTCACGCCAGCTTGCAAATCATACTGGAAATTAGAGATGTTCCGTGTGAGTTGATCCACTGACGGTCATTCTCCGGAAGGCGACTCCGAAATATCGAATTTCGAGACCAGCATCTCCATTAACATGATCTGAGGTTGCATCATCTGCTTCAAGTCAGCATTAGCAGACATGGTTAAAGAGAGAAAACTGACACCTCCGCCAGTTATGTTACGTACTGGAGATCGCCACGGATGATTATTTGCTTCACACGCTTCTCACTAGCTCCAAAAGCCCAGAGTAAAATATCGGGCTTTCAAGCAGAAGTTTTAATGCAAGAAAAAAACGTATGACAACCGCCAAGCTGGAAGAAGTACAGGTTGCGATGTTCAAAAGTGCATCGACTGAAAGAAAAAAGAACGATCAGTAGCGTAGTGTCTCATATCGAATAAATCAACAGGAAGCGAAAAGGAAACAGTTTCTCAGAGCAATGCAAGCGACGCCAACGAAGAGAAATTGCGCACTATTTTACCTCACAAAATTGTCGGCCTGAAGCCTGGAGGTAACGAGCGGGTTCGAATCCGCCTAGTGGTGGGCGTCCTTGCGGTATACTCAGCCCGCGTGTGACGCGGTGGTCGCAGGGCAGCGAAACGCTATTACGGCGTACAGCCGACACATTATTTATTATTTTATTACTTTCACAAAATAGATTTCGAAAACAAATCACTCAAAGATAACAACTATCGCAGACCGGCTGCAGCGCTCATAACGTGCACTCGCACCTTTGTGGTGCGCGTTTCATCTGCCATTCTGGCTTAAATAACTTTTCAATGAACGCTGCAAAGAGCGGTCATTGCAGCGCAGTACAGGTAGCCGCCCTCAAGATACTATGTTGTCTATTTTGATATTCTCTCTCGTTTCTTCGTGTTAACCCTGACGAAAAAGGAGGGCGTTAGTATTACATGGCACACTGTACTGATGCTTCACTGCCGCCTGACCACTGACAGTCGCACATTTGCTGAGCATACCGCGGGGTCGCCCGCAATTATGCGCATTCGAACCGGTAACCGAGGTACAAGGCAAGCGCTTAATACTTTCGGCCACAGGCTGAAGTGGATCAGCATTTTCCCAGTACTCAAGACAGGTGCTTCATTATCATGCAACTGACGACCGGGATACTATCATGGCGCCAAAATCCAAGCAAGAACGGAGAAGTTATTAGTAACACATCGGTAATTCGTACCAACGCTTCGCTGTCGCGCGGGCCAGATAGATAATGCGGTCGCTCGCACCTACGCAAATTCGAACCAGGGACCTTTAGACAGGCGCCTTATAACAGTGGGCCACTGTCTGGCAGACAGGAGTTGGGACTCGGGCTCGGAACGCAGATGTTTCAAGTCAGCTGCTCGTGTGGATAATACAGCCACCTGTTTTCTTCTCGTATCCTCAGGCATCTTGTGACTGCTCGTAGTTACTGTTTCCGCCAAGTCAAGAAGCGGTTGGCCTTAATTGCATGTTTATTCTCTGTGCTTCACGAAGTTCCCCAGGCCAGAGAGCAAGGTATCTGTCATCCGTCCTGTGTTTTGCATCTCAACACTTTTTATGATCATAGGTCATCGAAACCGCTCACTTGAATAGTTGCATACAACAACACTACATTTCTTGTGCTTTTAGTTGATTAGTCATAATTTCAATCTGATTGCATCCTCGAAAAAATGCATTTTTGGTGCGGTACCCGATTTTACTACTCTCATGCATTCTCTTACTTAGAGCTTATGCTGAACCTAGGAATAATAAGCTGGCATTTGGTTTTTAAGCCTCGGTTTAATCGGTATTATGATTGCGGGTCATTTCGAAGTATACCTTGTGTGGATGGATTGCGACGCACAATCTCAATGTTGACCGCGATTCCCATTGAAGTGCACCTTGAAGGCCCTCACTTCGAAGCTGGCCTCCGTTGGAACGTCTCGGCTCCCTGATTGCGATCCGAAAGACGATGAACACGTTTGGCTGGACACACTTACTGCTATGGCTAGGAGCTGACCTCAGTGGCGTTCATGCTGTGAGTTTCTTTGTCCCACCCCATCCTTCTTACCCTCCCCCTCCAACCACGATCTCACTATTTAGTCTTATAATTTTTCATAGTAATTTTTTTATGCACAGCAGCCGGCTGGTAGCTTATCGGAACGATGCCCATCCGTTACCGGTAGCTCAGCCGGCTTGCACCAGTTGCATTTTTTCTCCTTTTTTCTTTTATGTATGGCGGCATAGTAGCTGAGGTGTTTCCCACCTCTAGCTAACGTGTATAATCATGATGATGATGATGATGCACTTTGGTCTTTCGACCACGAGGGCCGTAGCTGATACGAATAGGAATTGGGCGTTGCCCGCCCGAATAGTAATGCGGTGTTTTCGGGCGGGCAACACCCAATTTCTATTTGCAGTGTTATGACTGTTTATATAATACTCCTCATGTTGCATTTGATTGGTTACAACAATCTTTTCTTATATGTCATAACAATCTGCGTCCCATTCGCGGGATTTCAGCCTCTTGCACGCGGCCGCCCACCAGTTTACGTTTTCCCTGATGAGTTACAAAATTCGCCGCGATACTGCTGATTTGAGCCTATATGACTGAGGGCACACAAGTTGACTCCAGCCCCCGTACTCCTACACTCCGCCCGTCTGACTTCAAATTCGGAAAGGAAATCGGCCAGGGATCCTTCTCTTCTGTTTACGTGGCTCGCGAGATCGCCACAAATGCTGAATTCGCCATCAAGGTGGTAGACAAGCAGCATATTCTCCGCAACCGAGCCGTTGAGTCAGTGTTGATGGAGAAAGAGGTACTCACTCGAACGAACCATGTTTTTATCATCCGACTGCATTGCACTTTCCAAGATTCCTCCCGCCTTTTTTATGTTCTCGAATACGCTCGTCATGGAGAATTGCTTACCTACCTGAATCGTCTTACGTCATTCGATGTTCAGTGCTCGCGTTTCTATGCCGCGGAAATATTGGTTGCCTTAAACTACCTCCATTCCCATTCTATCGTACACCGGGATTTAAAACCGGAGAACGTTCTGCTTTCTGAATCTATGCACACTAAGTTGGCTGACTTCGGTTCTGCCATCATATTGAATGAGCCAAAAATCAAAGCTCCTAGCTTCACCGGCACACCGGAATACGTTAGCCCGGAAATGTTGTCCCCACATTCTCTGAATAGCTCCGCGTCAGCTCCTTCCCCGTCACATACTTTTGAAGAACTGGCCTACTTAATGGATTATTGGGCTCTCGCTTGCATGATTTACCAGTTTATTTCCGGTCGACCTCCTTTTCGTGCAGAACGCGACAGACATGCATATGAAACGTTTGGAAAAATTTTCAGTTTGTCCTATAGTTTTATGGAAAGTTTCGACCCACTTGCCAAAGATCTTGTTCAACGACTGCTTGTTATAAACCCGCTCAATCGCATCGGTAGTCCCGTGAATGGAGGTCCGGCTGCCTTAAAATCACATCCATTCTTCGATGGCATCGACTGGGAAACTTTGCACATGCAAACACCGTCCGCACTGGCTCCTAACTTAGAGCCGATCGCTCCATCTGATTGGGATGCTAACCCCTCTTACAACACCACAACTAACGAGCAAGTGCTTGATGTTACACCTGAGAATCTGATTATCGGACAGCTTACGGATGCTGAACACACTCGTTTATTCACTCTACAGGAGCAACATAACCCGTACCACCGGTTTTGTCGCAATCGATTAATTCTTAGACAAGGTGTCCTTTTCAAGCGCCGTGGCCTCTTCGCTCGCAAACGAATGTTCTTGCTAACTGAAGGGCCTCATCTTTTTTACATCGATAATGACTCCATGGTTTTGAAGGGTGAGGTTCCTTGGTCTAGTTCCTTGGTGTTGGAACAAAAGAGTGATAAGTTATTTTTCATCCACGTTTCTGGTCGAACATTTTATCTAGAGGACCCGACCGGTCATGCGAGTGCTTGGGTTGCACATATCACTGCTGTCCGCAACTTCTACTACACTGATTCGCCTGACCATGGACGGTCGTCAGCGCCATCTGGTGATTCAGCCTTACCCGATCTGTGCAGCTGAACCATACCCATCGTGAATACAGATATCTTACGCGTTATTTTTTCGTTTTATTTGTATCTGACAGTCAGCTTTTCAAGCTTGTCTTGGGAAAGATTTTAGCTTCCGTTCCCGGAATTTTGTTTCTCTTCAGAATTCCCAGCTCTGATTTATTCGGACATGTATCACTTTATTCAACGATTATGTAGATATATGTGAATATTTCTCCATCTATTCCAAACGTGCCATGGATAGAAATCGTTCTCGTAACCGATTCTTCTTGTTTGTGTGTTTCTGCTTGTGTGATGTTTGCTAGCACAAAACTTGCCATGCTTACTAGAACTACAAAAGTACTGTTAGCATTTGTCACCCTGCCACACTAGACTGTGGTCCCCCCCCCCGCTTTCTTTCACTGGCCTTAAGTGCTTCAAGACGCGGTTGTGACATAGCCACATCTATTTTATCCCGAAGGAGTCACCCGACCAGTTTGGTTCATTACACAGCGAATCAGGAACTGATCAATGATAAGTGCCATCAGTAAGGTGTATTAATCCTAGGGTATCGAAACCATTAGTAAGAAACCATCTGTTATTTCTCTTTCAAATCTGTTTACCTGTTTTCAGCTAGACATCGCGTAATTCAAAGATATTGTTGGTCTTTCTCACTGGGTGAATACAGGACACTTTGTGTTTATGCCCATGTATGAACTCACAAATTCGATGTATCAAAAGCTGGGAATGTGCTTGCATAACAGTGTTTATCACATACAGAAGAAAATTACGACTAGACTGGTGTATATATCCTCGAGCTAGCTCGATAATAAGCAAGAACTAATGCTGTGGTGTTATAATCCTAGTCGACTGATGACTTGAGGTTAGGAATGCACAGCACGTTGCTTATAAAAGAGCACAGTAACTGCTCGTAAATCTGGTGTCTTAATTAGTCGGGACAGCTCAAATGAACTAAGACCATGAGTGCATTTTACACCATGCGTTGATGTACTCATATGATCACCAAATTCTGATGGCATCGATAGTGCATCGGTACGTTGTACCGAAGTTTCGATGCTACATGACTACCAGCAGTGGCGTACGAGCTACGGGCATTGCGAAGTTACCTGTACCTACCTACAAACTCGAGACGGTGAACTGTGGATTTCAAGCCAGATGCCTTAACTACTCGGCGGCTGTCTTTGTGTGCATGGAGAGTTTTGAGTTGTAACTTTTCTAACATTTACTATGGTACTGTGTTATTTCTTTACATTCTATTTTCTGTTCAGAGCGGTTTTGATGTAGCTATCCAGATAAATCACCCGGTACCTAAGTGTAGAGCATTCTATCTTCACCCTAAGAGCTAAGTACTATGGTGACGACCATTGCACACAGTTCATTAACCCGACTTCTATCCCCATGCTTCTGCTCTGTCAATCGCCATTCAAGGTTGAACCCTACATCCCAAATCATCCAACATCATGCTTCATATGGGCTCAAAGTGTAGCATCACAGTCATAGAATCCAACACTTCTTGTGCTGTACCTTTGTTCTGTACTGTACCAATACCCTGTCCCGGCGCTTCGCTGCCACGTGACAACTAGCGGTCGCGTGCGGGCTGAGAACACTGGGAGGTCTCCCCTACCTGCAAAGCTCCGAGTCGGCGAACTTTCGGATTGCATGCCAGACACCTGAACCTTTTGGCCACTGGCCGGCATTCGGTAGTTTTACGTAAGACATACGTTTCCACCTCAAATAAACCCGATTCGATTGTCTACTTATTTGTGCGTCTAAGCTCAGTGGGTCCAGTTGACCTGACTCACCTCTCTGTACTGACAACAATTAACCACCGTGGAAAGGAGAGAGAACACAGAAGTAGGTCGGACGAGGATCGACGACGAAACATTTCAACCGTGGCTCTTGCACGTCGTCGCATCGATTGACACTCTTCGACCTTTAACCCACCACGTAGCGTCGTGTGGCCTGGTCTGCTACTGTCATCGGCATTGGCATTGAACTCCGACTATTCAACTGTAATTATACCCTATATTTCTTACCCGCATGTATCTCACAAATGCCGTTTTGCTTTCTGCTGAATAGTTCTGCCCACGTCTTGATATCATTATGTGCGAACTCATTCAAATGAACAGCAACACATTTACAACTACAGTTAGTCCCAGAAGTTTTGTCCCTTTTTACTCTGTTGCTCGGGGACCAAGGCTCAGGCCTTCGAGCGAGAGCGCACTAAATTGCCAGCTGTCCAATAGTAGGTGTTGGTCTATCTCAAAATGTCTCCCATCCGGTCACATGGGTGTGCATGCCCGGAGTGATGGCAGTATGCAAGTGTACCTGGGTACAGGTGTACTTGCCAGTCTCGTCCATCCTGAAAGCGCTGGATAGGCGCGGATGGTTGAGTTGAACTCAACTACGGCACGCCACAGGGCAAGTTCACCGATCGATACATACCGTGTTTCGGGCTGGTTGGAACGAATGCAGGCGTGCAAAATCAAGACAGCAGTGCATCATTACCGGGCTACTGCGGTAGAATTGTGGTGGCGTTTGGACAGGCCCAACTAACCTGAGCAAGGTGTGTTCAATAGATGCTTAGTGTTATCCCAACTAATGACGGAAAGGTTATTGGCAACGCTTTTGTAGACTGAAAGTTAGCTTAAAACAACCCACCTTAGAAAGATAGACATTGCTTAGAGTTAGGCCTTACAGATATGAAATGTAATATTTTGAGAAAAAATGTCTTGAAAAGCTATGGCTAGAAATCAGTTTTAACGGTGAATACGTATATTAACCTAAACAGCATAAAACGGTGCTATGTCCGTCAACGAAGGAGATGCTCAACGTGTCCGCCAGCGTTTTGCTTGCAGTGCAGAAATCGCCTGAGACAATAGGCTAAAACTTTTTGCAAAGTTTCTGTATTGATGACGCAACATTCGTTGACATTACTGCCTTTCAGTTGTTCCAGTAACATAGGCCTTATCTTGTGAACTCTTCTTTTCAAATAACCCCATAGGAAGGAATGTAAAGGGTTCAAATCTGCGGACCGGTTAATCTTTTAGACCTCTGCGACCTATCCACCGGTGACCGAACACCTTAAGATATTGCCACACCGTTTGTGCATAATGGGCAGGTGCGCCATATTGAAGCTATAACGGCTGAAGCGAAGTGCTGAAATCGCCAACGAGAATCGGTGGTGAAAACATTTCTATCTTGTAGCTTACACTTTAATTGCCAGACAGTTCCTTTACCATGTGAGAACCATGCTTAACAGAGGAATGACGGTAATCATAATTGAGTTACTTGACAATCACGAGGTCAACGTCATGTCCGCAACGGATGTACGGGCCTCTGGCTTGCAAGAAGCGCCTAACGCAGCCTACTGAGGTTCAACAGTTTCGTCCACCGCCGTCAACTTTACAATAAACATCAACAGCGACGCCTGCACCCTGTCGGACAATTAAGCGATCGCGCATTTCTCACGCACCCGCCTTGTTCAATGTTCTCGTAGCGTTCATTCTACCCCGACGAAGTACTGGCACCATTACTCATCGCAACAATGTGGTCGTGAAATCAGTCGATAGGCATTATACATATATTTACATGAAGTATGTTTCAAACGCAAAAGAATCAAGGAATATCTTCAAAATGACCACCGTCGTTTCGCTTGTAGAACAGCATTCGTCTGATGCTACTGGCTAGCACCGACATCTCGCGATATTCTTTGACGATGCTCAGTTTCAGTCCCTTCGGCTTGCAGCCGTGGAATGACACAGGTCTGCAACATTTCTTTGTAGAACAATGCTAACAAATGTTGAGCGTTAGTTCTGTTTTAAAAGATCAAGTTATCCGTCGCATTCTTAGAAAAGAAAAATGGTCCGATAATTTTTCGGCTTGTCAACCCAGCCCTTGATTTATTAACAGCACTAACGCTTCACATTTGTTAGCATCCTCCTACAAAGAAATGTTGCAGACCTGTGTCATTCCACGGCTGCAGGCCGCAAGAACTGAAACTGAGCGTCGTCAGCGAATGTCGTGGGATGTCGGTGGACAGTTTGCAGAAAGTGCTAGACAGTAGCATCGGGCGAATACTGCTTTGCAATCGAAACGACGGTGGTCATTTTGAACATATTCCTTGATTCTTTTGCGTTTGAAACATACTTCATGTAAATATATGCATAATGCATATCGACTGATTTCATGACCACATTGTTGCGATGAGTAATGGTGCCAACACTTCGTCGGGGTAGAATGAACGCTACGAGAACATTGAACAAGGCGGGTGCGTGAGAAACGCGCGTTCGCTCAATTGTCCGACAGGGTGTAGGCGTCGCTGTTGATGTTTACTGTAAATTTGACGGCGGTGGACGAAACCGTTGAAACTGAGTAGGCTGCCTTAGGCGCTGGCCAAAGCACCCACAGTAGGAAAGAAGCCTGTCTACTTATCGTTGCTATTCAAAGGAGATAACGGTTCCGAATGCCTTAGTAAACCATTAGCGGGGACGTCATTAACACATACAGGGCGCACAATTACACATTATCTTCACTTCCACACCCACTCCACACATCCAACTAAGATAAACTGTCTGTGGATGTCGCCACTTTTTTATTAATTTACCTGCTCTGCTTGACTGGATCCCAGTCAACAGTCGGCTATGTGCAGTCAGACTACGAGGTTCATGTAACGTAAGCAGGCGTCGAGACGTTAAGCATGTCTTGTTTGTCGTCTCCGCCTACGCCCCTACAGACTGCAGCCCGGATGCAGTTAAAGATAGCTTTTACCAGCAACTACATGAACTTCTGCGTTCCTCCAAACGGACGGATATAGTCATTCTTGCCGGGGACTTTAACGAACGGGTTGGCCGCCTTCCACCGTGCAAGCATCACTTTGGGGGTAGTTTTGCTCTCGGTGGCAGTCGATCAGACAATGGAGACAGACTGCTTGCTCTTTGCTCTGATCATTGCTTGTATCTTTCGAGCACCAGTTTTCGACACTCGAGGAGACACACTGCTACCTGGCGCCCG